GGCCTAGGCCATTTTTTTTAAACCAATATATAGGTTATGTATAAATGAAAGATAAAAATATAATGATTAAAGTTTGCTATATAGATCGTCTAACCATTCTAAGTGTGACTAACTTCACATTCGTTTAAACCGCTTAGGGATACACAATGCCACCTAAACAAAATTTGGGATATCGACATTAGAAGTGATCATGGATCGGTACAGTTCAGAGATTGACAAATCTCCATAACCTGTTCATGTGTGATTTTACACCATATTTATATAGTATCTAGAGCTTATTCACTGCATCATTGGTGTATAAATTGCATTATTGTGCTATAATTCTATATCTTGTTAGAGAGGTATTACACGTGCTTGTTTTGTAGATATTTTCACATATTTGTAGAACTTTTGGCTATTGGAGGCGCATGGTGAATACCTAGGACCCCCGGGATGATGATAGATTGATGCAAGGATGAAAAAAATGGAAGAAACGAGAAAAAACGAGCAAGCAGGTTTGTGACACGGGCAGTGACACGGGCACCATGCCCGTGTCAGAGGCCGTGTCACCTCAACGGAGAGAATTCGTAACCTGGGAGCTGACACGGGCTGTGACACAAATCGTGACACGGGCAGAATGGCCGTGTCGCGCGCGCAGACTGTTTTTTATATCTTACCTATTTTGAAGAGGTGAAGGATTTTGGACATTAAAAAAAACGTGAGATACACATTGGAGGAGCCCTAGAACACACAAGAGAAGCAATTGGAAAGCAAAGGAAGATCAACTACAAAGGGATCAAGAAGATTGAAAGATCGATGATATTCCTAGTTTTTATTTCTTCTTTCCTTTTGAAATTTTATTGATCATGTTGATTTCTAATATGTCTATGTATTTGAATTCGAACATGATTGGCTAGTTTATTTGATTTTAGGACTTGGTAGTAGATTAATATGTTGGGATTTTGAATGATTTATTATAATTGATTGTTTTCTTTTGAACCCTATTCAAATATTTTGTTCTTATTTCATGTTTAGCACTTGGCCAATGTTTTTACATGTTTGACAATATTGTTCATAATTCGAGAGATGAGTTCAATATTAGGTTCTTAATATTTGACACAATTTACTTGCTTGAATCGAGAGATTAGTAGGTTGTTGTGAGGATATTAGATCTTTTAATCTATTTGGAGTTGAATTGCATGTGTTGAGTGGAGATGCTAACATATGTGATTTAATCTACGGTTTTATCGACCTTGAGAGGGACGATAAGCTAAATTTGTGATCATCTTATAGGGAAGATAAAGAAAACATTGGTTGTGATATTTCTGAAGGAACCCAACTATGAATTGAAACTAAAGTCTTAGAATCTATCGTTCTCATACATCTTCTTACGTTTTTTCTAGCTAGTTTCTTCTTGTTGCTTTATTTCTCTTTAATCATATTTTCTTAGTTTAGTTAATCCATCTCATATTTGGTCGTCTAAATAAAGTTGACATTATCATAATCTGATACTTGATATATTAATTATTTGGTCTCTTGGGATACGACCTTTCTTGCCACATACTACGAGTGAAGCCGTACACTTGCGGTTGAGCTTTAAAAATATAGGCGGACAAGTTTTTGGCGCCGTTGCCGGGGACATACTACGAGCTTTAAAGTTGTTTCTATTTTATTATTCACTCAAATAAAAGACGATTGGGTTTGATTGTTGAATTCTCTTATATGGCTTGCGAGTATTGATCGAAATGGGGTATGGAATGATTTTGTTGAGCTTGATCATGATTGATAGGTGATGAATTGGTGTAGTTCATGTTTTATAGTTCTAGATGCTCAAGTTTTCGTCACTTTATCCATATTTTTCCTACCCTAACCAAAGAGCCTACATTACAACCAAATGAAAAGTCCTTTTTGATTCATGAACTGCATGCACAATAAGTGGTGGAGATAGTAGACGATTTGTTAAGCTTATGGTAATTCTTCAATATTGAATTGACTTGAGCGGTTATTTCCAAATATACTTTTGAGAGTGAGAGTATACATTTATCCGGTGAGATTTGTGGATTGAAGGTATTGACCATGATTTTGATGAAGCATTCTTTAAGTTTCAAAATTCTAGAACTTGGTTATGTTATTTGCCCGATGCATATTGAGAATGTGTATGATTGACTTTGAGAGTGTGATTGTTTTTCCTTGTGTGTTGGTAGGAGTTTGATGCATTGATCGGGACTATCAATGGTTTAAGTTTGGGGGTTTGTTCATGTGTGATTTTACACCATATTTATATAGTATCTAGAGCTTATTCATTGTATCATTGGTGTATAAATTGCATTATTGTGCTATAATTCTATATCTTGTTAGAGAGGTATTACACGTGCTTGTTTTGTAGATATTTTCACATATTTGTAGAGCTTTTGGCTATTGGAGGCGCATGGTGAATACCTAGGACCCCCGGGATGATGGTAGATTGATGCACGGATGAGAAAAATGGAAGAAACGAGTGAAACGAGAAAAAACGAGCAAGCAGGTTTGTGACACGGGTAGTGACACGGGCACCATGCCCGTGTTAGAGGCCGTGTCACCTCAACAGAGAGAATTCGTAACCTGGGAGCTGACACGGGCTGTGACACGGACCGTGATACGGGCAGAATGGCCGTGTCGCGCGCACAAGCTGTTTTTTATATCTTACCTATTTTGAAAAGGAGAAGGATTTTGGACATTATAAAAGGCATATTCACCCTATTTTGAGGAGAAAAAAAACGTGAGATACACATTGGAGGAGCCCTAGAACACACAAGAGAAGCAATTGGAAAGCAAAGGAAGATCAACTACAAAGGGATCAAGAAGATTGAAAGATTAACGAGATTCCTAGTTTTTATTTCTTCTTTCCTTTTGAACTTTTATTGATCATGTTGATTTCTAATATGTCTATGTATTTGAATTCGTACATGATTGACTAGTTTATTTGATTCTAGGACTTGGTAGTAGATTAATATGTTGAGATTTTGAATGATTTATTATAATTGATTGTTTTCTTTTGAACCCTATTCAAATATTTTGTTCTTATTTCATGTTTAGCACTTGGCCAATGTTTTTACATGTTTGACAATATTGTTCATAATTCGAGAGATGAGTTCAATATTAGGTCTTTAAATTTGACACAATTTACTTGCTTGAATCGAGAGATTAGTAGGTTGTTGTGAGGATATTAGATCTTTTAATTTATTTGGAGTTGAATTGCATGTGTTGAGTGGAGATGCTAACATATGTGATTTAATCTACGATTTTATCGATCTGAGAGAGACGATAATCTAAATTTGTGATCATCTTATAGGGAAGATAAAGAAAACATTGCTTGTGATATTTCTGAAGGAACCCAACTATTAATTGAAACCAAAGTCTTAGAATCTATCGTTCTCATACATCTTCTTACGTGTTTTTCTAGCTAGTTTTTTCTTGTTGCTTTATTTCTCTTTTATCATATTTTCTTAGTTTAGTTAATCCATCTCATATTTGGTCGTCTAAATAAAGTTGACATTATCATAATCTGGTACTTGATATATTAATTATTTGGTCTCTTGGGATACGCCCTTTCTTGCCACATACTATGAGCGAAGCTGTACACTTGCGGTCGAGCTTTAAAAATATAGGCGAACAGAATCGTACCGATATTCAGAGATAACTAAAACTCGATCTCCAGAAGCGTACAAATAAATTGGTTCGGTTCGGTTTGGAGATTATTATTTTTCGGTTCAGTTCGGTATACGGGACTATCGGAACGGATTTCTAATTATATTTTTTTTAAAAAAATTGAATGACCACCTAGTTATATTTTAATTTTTATATATATTTTTAAAATTCAACATTCATTAATACTTCATCATATTAAAGATTTTATTTTTAAATTAACTTTAGAAGTAATCTAAATTTTAGTTAAGACTAAATATGTGCAACTAACATTAAAATTTAAATTCAAAGTAAATATAATATATTTTTTATTAAAATAATATTTCTTTAACCGTCCATGTTAGTTATAGGATAGAATAAGACTAAGTATCGCAAATTTAAGTAAAGTTTAAATATGTTTTTAAAGAATACTTCTTTAACCTATCATTCTATTTTAAATAGAGAAAATTCAATTGTAGAACAAGTATTATTAAGTATGAAATTTAAGTGAAATTTAATTGTTATTACTATATTTTATTTGCATTTTAAAAATTCTCAAATTATATAGTATCAAAATTGACATAAAATATATTAATAACACACACCTATTTTTATAATTCAGTTCTTAATTTCGGTTTTTCGGTTCGGTACGGTATGAGACGGTTCGATTCGGTTCTCGGTACGTATATTTTGTGAAATCTCTAGAACTGTATCAATTATTTTTCGGTTCGGTTTAGTTCGGAGAAAGTCAAACGGTCAACAGTTATTTTTGGATTTTGTTTTCAGAATGGTTCAGAATTCTCCGAGTCCCATATTCAGCCCTAATCGACATGTCGCCTGGCCCAATTTATGAAACAATGATAATTAGTGTGTCTCTGTTCAACGCTTAATATTAAATACATTACAAAATATAATACGTGGGATCTAATTATTAATGGATCGACCCGTCACTCAATAAGAAACATATTTTATACTATTAAATATTATATTTTTATTTACATTAATTTAAATATGATATAATAAAAATATATAATTATTAATGAAAATGTATCTTTCCTAATAGTTAAGCAGGCCTAACAAAATGTGAAATGGACATGGGAAAAATTGGTGGGTTGTTTCTTTTCATTACCTAAGATTTGTGAGGTTGGCTTCGTTAGCTTATTAGGTTACGTTAAAGAAGCAAGATTAGAACTTTTTGGTGGGTTTTTGTGATTATCTATGTTTGTGAATAGTGTGATGTGATAAGATTATATATATATAAAATTGGTGTAATATTTAAACATATGATATATGATACTCTATCCATTTTAATTAATATCACGACGTTGCATAAATGTAATAAACTTAGCTTCTGTTACACTTCATATTACTTAAATCGATCGTACATTTTCATATCAATTTTTTTTTTTTGGGGTATCAGAGGAACTTTTGATTGGTTCTTTCTTACAGTCATCCTCTTT